TTCCGACCGGCCGGCTTTCTCGAGCGTCACGAGTTGATGGGTCCTCAACGCCGTCCACCATCGACTTAACACAGAGACCCATTGGACGCATACAGAAAGAATTCGAAGACTGGAGACTCGAAAAACTCCCATGCATGCGTGTAGGTTTGAACTTCTTTCGCACCGTATAAAGCCAACCGTGCTAATCGAAGTAAAGACTGAACCATGATTTATACCAGATTCCCAAGTGCAGTGCATCGATGGTCTTAGCCCCGGGTCACCAATGACCACACGAAGAAAAAACAAAACCGAATCGCAATTGAATCAGAATTTTATTCGAATCGGTGTGCATGGAGGTGACTATTGCACTGTCTTCAGAGAAGAGGAATTTTCTAACAGCACAACGTTATACGTCTTAGCTGTGGGTTAGGTGCCGATAGGACCTTTTTGTCACTTCTTTCAGGGACACTCTCAATGTGGGATCACGCAAAGCAGCAGCAGCAGCATCGTCACCCTGCTGAGAAAATCCGAAAGAGAGACTTGAAACTCGGTGATAATTCCCTGGGTGGACAATCATAGCAGCAACAACAACAACAAATAGCCGTGTAATAACGCCGATCGATTCGGAGGCTTGGTTAATAGAGGTACAGTGAGGGAAAAAAGTATTTGATCCCCTGCTGATTTTGTACGTTTGCCCACTGACAAAGAAATGATCAGTCTATAATTTTAATGGTAGGTTTATTTGAACAGTGAGAGACAGAATAACAACAAAAAAATCCAGAAAAACGCATGTCAAAAATGTTATAAATTGATTTGCATTTTAATTAGGGAAATAAGTATTTGACCCCCTCTCAATCAGAAAGATTTCGGGCTCCCAGGTGTCTTTTATACAGGCAACGAGCTGAGATTAGGAGAACACTCTTAAAGGGAGTGCTCCTAATCTCAGCTTGTTACCTGTATAAAAGGCACCTGTCCACAGAAGCAATCAATCAATCAGATTCCAAACTCTCCACCATGGCCAAGACCAAATAGCTCTCCAAGGATGTCAGGGACAAGATTGTAGACCTACACAAGACTGGAATGGGCTATAAGACCATTGCCAAGCAGCTTGGTGAGAAGGTGACAACAGTTGGTGCAATTATTTGCAAATGGAAGAAACACAAAAGAACTGTCAATCTCCCTCGGCCTGGGGCTCTATGCAAGATCTCAGCTCGTGGAGTTGCAATGATCATGAGAACGGTGAGGAATCAGCCCAGAACTACACGGGAGGATCTTGTCACTGATCTCAAGGCAGCTGGGACGATAGTCACCAATAAAACAATTGGTAACACACTACGCCGTGAAGGACTGAAATCCTGCAGCGCCCGCAAGGTCCCCCTGCTCAAGAAAGCACATATACATGCCCGTCTGAAGTTTGCCAATGAACATCTGAATGATTCAGAGGACAACTGGGTGAAAGTGTTGTGGTCAGATGAGACCAAAATGGAGCTCTTTGGCATCAACTCAACTCGTCGTGTTTGGAGGAGGAGGAATGCTGCCTATGACCCCAAGAACACCATCCCCACCGTCAAACATGGAGGTGGAAACATTATGCTTTGGGATGTTTTTCTGCTAAGGGGACAGGACAACTTCACCGCATCAAAAGGACAATGGACGGGGCCATGTACCGTCAAATCTTGGGTGAGAACCTCCTTCCCTCAGCCAGGGCATTGAAAATGGGTCGTGGATGGGTATTCCAGCATGACAATGACCCAAAACACACGGCCAAGGCAACAAAGGAGTGGCTCAAGAAGAAGCACATTAAGGTCCTGGAGTGGCCTAGCCAATCTTCAGACCTTAATCCCATAGAAAATCTGTGGAGGAAGCTGAAGGTTCGAGTTGCCAAACGACAGCCTCGAAACCTGAATGACTTGGAGAATATCTGCAAAGAGGAGTGGGACAAAATCCCTCCTGAGATGTGTGCAAACCTGGTGGCCAACTACAAGAAACCTCTGTGATTGCCAACAAGGGTTTTGCCACCAAGTACTGTCATATTTTGCAGAGGGGTCAAATACTTATTTCCCTCATTAAAATGCAAATCAATTTATAACATTTTTGACATGCGTTTTTCTGTATTTTGTTGTTGTTATTCTGTCTCTCACTGTTCAAATAAACCTACCATTAAAATTATAGACTGATAATTTCTGTCAGTGGGCAAACGTACAAAATCAGCAGGGGATCAAATACTTTTTTCCCTCTCTGTATGTTTTTTTAATATTTAGGGCCCCTTTATAACATATGCTAAGGCCCCGCACTAGCTTAATCCGGCACTGTCGCGAGTGAAAATGACCCCCTAACCCCCCCCCCCCCACGACGATCGCCTTCTCGCCGGGGTTGTACCATGTGCAGTTTTGTTCCCCTTGTTTAATAAAGGCTTCAGGAGACGGTTCTAAATAATCATTCTTACATGCAGTGTCTTGTGACTGAGCCGCAGAAACTATACGTCCTTCAGATTTTCAAGGGGCATTTAATGCATCACACCAATCTGATTTCATGGCACTCTAACAAGGAAAGGCTTTGTTTCACGACGTTTTCATAAGTATGTATTTTATTCTGTACGTCATGTATGTTGAACTTCTTTTGCGCCGTACGCAGCCAACCGCGCTAATCGGAGGTGTGGGGGATGGACAACAAACTGAACACAAAAAGCAGTTCTGAATAAATTAGTTTCTAATCGAGATTATGTAAAAGTGCATAGCTCCAGTGGCGTCCTAATATCGGAAGGAAGAGCGTTCCAGACGGCCGCAGAAGCGCATCTGGATTTGTTACGTAAACAAAACGCCAAATAGTTACTTCAGCCCACCGGTGTGTTGGAGAGCTAAATCCACATCTACAATTTGAGTACGACGTTTTGCTGGTAATTACATCCAGCATCATCGGGTGATTTGCCAGGATATGAATGAAGAGTCTTCAAACTTGATTTGGCGCTTTCGTGACTGCAGGAATTACGCTTTGTTTTTTTTTCGGTAAAGTCACGTAGAAATAAGAAATAATAAAATTACGTAATAGCGTACGACGTTTCGATTGCAACACAAGCAATCATCATCAGGTACAGAAGAGCTAAATTTAGGAGAGAGAGGAAACACATAACCGCAGATATATATACAGACACCCAAGCGGAGGGAATTAACACAGATACACCAGGGGATACAGAGAGAGAGACGGAGGAGCACACTAAATCAACACAGGGTTAAGCAAAATTTGGAGAGTCTTCCCCACGCGAATTGAGTCATGGGGGCTTGTTTGACCAAATGTAAACGACAGCGGACCCTGAGGTGGTCTCCTAGCAAGATTCCGACGGCGGTGGTGGTCGGTTTGGCTGTCGAGTGACGCCGACAATCGGACCGTGGAGCCAGCGATGAATGTGCTAGAAGGGAGCGTGGGACGTGGCGAGTCGCCGTCTTGTACCCATCAGGATTCTTCCACGTTGCTACCTCAAGATGTGTTTGCACCAAGACCGTAATTATACTATTCAAATATGCTCAAAATGTCGCCCCCCCCAACAAATTGCTATAAAAAATAAAAGTAATAATTGCTATGCTATGTAAATAAAAACAACAATTTGCTAAACCTTGGCCACAATATCTGGACTTGTCTTCATATAAATCAATGCATAGATTGCTGTTTATCTGTTTGTATGATTGTGGTTATGGTTGTACTTTATTAATCCCTAATCTCTGCCATTACATACAATCAAACAAGAAATGGTAAAAGAGTAAAAACAGACCAATGTAATACAATACACTATTAAACATTATTGTAAAAAAATGAAAAAGGCCATCCCATGTGTTAAGTGAATTTTTAAATGTTTTAGGCAGGAAATGGCAGGAAATAAGTTTTCAAATTTAGATTTTTTTTCTGGGTTGGGACCCCCTGGAAGATAGGGTCCCCCCCAATGTTGACTCCATGGCTACGGCCTTGGTTTGCATTCAGATGCTCATGTAAGTTACAACTGTAATTGTACATTTCTGAAATTGTCTGCGTCACAGGCAGCAGTAGCAGCCTATTATCGTCGTCATCATCACCACCGATGCTCTATTACATTAAAGAAATGAAAATTACTGCAACAAGCGAAATCAAAATGAACAAGGTAGAATGACACTTTATTTCTTGTCAGACATCAATATGAAAACGATCTCTGGGCGTATATGTACATCTCGGGGAGCCGGAAATTAAGTTTTTAATGGCAGTAGATTTATTTAGCGATTTTGAATCGAAAACGGCATGCGGATCAAACAACAACGAAAAACAAAATCTCCCGAAACAAAAATAAATCCTCGCATGGTACTCGACTCGATGGGGAATAAATTACAAGGGGGGGTGGGGGGGGGGGTGGGAATGTTCGCCCGCCAGTGAACGCACAAAACTTCAAACCAACCTCAATGCCAGTGTTGTAAATGGATTTCCCACCTCCACCCACACGTGTTTTCATTCCCCCCAGGAACAAATATTTGGTTCGTATTTCTAGTCCATTGGGACACTTCTAGTTTCGATTCAAAGTACATGAATTGATTATCACAATATCAGGACCAAAAAGTCGGTAAACTATCCTAAAAGCAAACTGAGCAACTGGTTCACAAAATTGTTCAGAAGTCACATTTTTTGTTGTTAAATATTTAATTTTGAAAGTGCATGGCTTTAGATTCGTATGCAAAGCTAGATTACTTTGTTTACATTTTTTTATTATTATAAATAATTGCAAGGGGAAGAAATATGAAATATTCCCAAACATTGGTTGACACGAGAGGGAACAGATGATATATTTAGATTTAAAGCTTTCGTGACTGCAGGGATTCATATTATTGGTTCTTTCGGTAAAGTCACGTAGAAGGGAAACAATAAAATAATAAAAATATAAAACAATTAAATTCTCACGTTTCGACTGCAACACAAGCAATCATCATCAGGTGTGAAAACCACAGCAAGAAAAACAAACCGCCACTTTTTTTCAAATTTTCTTGCTGTGGTTTTCACACCTGATGATGATTGCTTGTGTTGCAGTCGAAACGTCGTGATAATTGTATTGTTTTATATTTTAATTATTTTATTGTTTCCCTTCTACGTGACTTTACCGAAAGAACCAAGAACAAGATGATATATTCTCCGACAGCAGAGTGCAGCAACTGTGTGGAAACCTTCCGTGAGCCAATGAGGACGATTAAACTCCCCCCCGCCCTTGCCGCAGGTTTTTCACGTTGTGTGTCGGCCAACGCGAGGCAGGAGGGCATGGGTTCGATCCCGACACCCTTGACGCTTGCTGTATATTTTGGAGTTCGCTCTCTCTCCCCGTGGTTTTGCGTGGATTTTTCTCCGGGCCGTCCGGGTTTTTCCCTTCCACCTTTCGAATCAACACCGCGTTCAAGGGTATTTGCCCGCTATACATTTACACGCGATAAGCCACTTTATTTGTCATGGCCAGGTCTCTTCGCGTGAAACTCCACGTCCAGGCAGAGAGGGGAACAAAGGAGGCCGTGCGAAGGGCTCCAAAACGCCCACCCAGCAACCGCTCCGCAAACACCCACCACACGCAGCGTGGCCGAACGCTGCGACTCCCAACTATCGTACTCGTGACGTAATCGATTAATCCATGTATTATTGCTTTGATTAATCGATTAATCATACTGTTAACAAAAAAAACTCGCATACAAAGTCGCATATCATTTGCATACGTTAACAATCAACACGCTGGGCATGCACTGTGGGAAGAGAGCGCTGTGTTTTTTGTGGCGCCACTCTGCGGCGTTTGCAATTTTTGAAACGGCTGCCGAGTAATTGATTTTAAAAAATAATCAATAGTTTACTTCTCTCCTCTTGCTTTCCCTAACCGTCAGTTACAGCACTACTCATCTAGCCTTGCTTTCCCTAACCCCTTGTGTAAGGTGACTGAGTAAGGTGACTGGGGGACAGCCACATTTGTCGGGCAGAGAATTGCACATAAGGTCGAGGGCGAGTGAAAGGCATGGAACGATGCAGACGTTCACCGATAAAAATCGAATTTCATGCTCGTGTTGCGCGAGTCGAACAAACAGCGCCCACGTGATCATCGATTATTGAAGACTGACAAATAATATGCAAATGTATGAAGCTTCATATTACATTTAAGATAACGTGGCGAATACGATTATACAAGGCAGAAAAAATAAAAAGATTACAAAACTTAGACCCCCCAAAAAAAGATTCTTGAATCGAATCGTAACTTCAAACTGTGACGATTCATCGAATTGTGGGAAGTGGGGGGGGGGGGTTAGGCTATTCCTTCCGGAATAACTTGTCTAAAAAAAAACACATTTCCCTTCACCAAAAATAAATCTCCTAAATATATTTTTAGGTGACGGATAGAGGTTTGGTCCCATGCCCGAGGGAGAATGGGGGAGAGTGGAGAGTACCACAATGGGAGAGTGACAGAATGGGAGTGTAATAGCAAGGAGAGTGGGAGAGTGATGGTCGTAACGGAAGTGATGGATTTTGGGGAGAGTGTGTGTTTGGTGTAGGCCAGCAGTTGAGAGGCAGATTCGTACGCCCTGAGACACGGCTGGGAAGATGACAGTCGGCCCAAGCGACGTAAAGAAACCACGTGGATTTTTACCGATCCTTGTACGCTTACGATACACGCATAGAATCGTGCGTGATTTATGCAAATTATATTCCATAGTGATAAGATTTAGCCGAATCGATATAAGAAAACTGAACAACCGAAAGAGAGGAAAGATAAATAATACAACTGAAGACGGTTATAAAAAAACGAGACAACAGAGCTCTGATTCTCGTATCGAGTTGCCACCGTGGGCTGGGGTGAATCGTTACCACTGGCCTAACAACTCAGAGAATGGGAGAACAGAAACGAGAGGAATAAATAACGATTGCGATGGTAAGAAGACGGACGGATGAAGGTTAATGAAGGATGGAAGAAAATCAGTAAATTAACAGAGAGGAGGAAAGATTAAGGAGACAGGAGGTGAGAATGTGTGGAAGAAAATTCATTACATGGGTCGGAAAGGGGCTGTGACAAAGAGACAGACCAGACGAACCAGAAGATGGTGGAAGCATAAGAAGCACCTACATAACCCGAGATGAGTCATAATGACACTTAAAACAGCATTGTTAGCTGAACTTGCAAATACATTGACATTGCATTTTAATACGAATGATACGATTATAGTTGTAATTGAATCCCCAGATATGAACATTACATTTAAGGGTTTTCATCAGTCGGCCAGAACACAAGCGCAGATGCAGCCGTCAACAAACTTAAACCGTTACGAACACGAGGTGAGCACATGCGGACGAGGCTGGTGGCAGTGATTGGCTCTCCACGAGCATCAAGCCGACACCGCGGTGATCTTCGTAACGGGACCACGCGTGAGTGCACACGCATGCGCCCGTGCGTGCATGCGTCTGCCTTCCGCTGCCAATATGGTGAAATGCACAACAAGCTCACGTTTGTCTTTAAGGCGTTGTGACCAAGACATTACCGCAAAGTCTAAGTGGGTTTTTTTGTTCATCCCACATTTAAATGCTTGCAATTTCTGACACGTTGCTACGTGCCAAGAGTAAACAGTGACATTTTTGGGAACCGTTATTTCTGTAAAAAGGCTGCTGGATCGAGGAACAACACTGTGCCTACGCTTACATTTCAAAACCGTTCACCCAGCGCGACTCACCGCTTGGTCGATATGCGTCGAAGTGCCTTTGAAGTGGATCCCAAAAACGTCATTTTAAACGCATCTCAATGACATCTGAAAAAAATACGTTTTGAAACCTCTATACTTTAAATTGTAAACTGCCACCTAATGCTTTATACGTACATTTTTATTTAATTTGCTTGACATTCAGACCCTGTATAATGAAGCCGTGTTTTGACCTTTGTTAACGTGTGTTGCAGGATAGTCGATCGGCAGTTCGCGTATGGTGGGGTAGAGCGTGGGTCAGCGGGAGAAGAGGAGGCCGGCTCCTCCGTCTAGGGGAGGAGGGCCTTCCACCAGCAGCAGTGGCGTGATCAAGCAGTTGCTGGACTGCATCTTTGCACTTTTCACACGTGTACTTCATTGCTTTTGTAGCCAAGTAAAGCCCTTGAGAAAAAGGGCCACGTATTCTCACTGAGCTCTCATTTGCTTTTCAAATAAAGAACTTGGTATAAAGCGGAGGTCTGTACGCTGCCCAAATTAAAAGGAGGGTGCAAGATCCGTGAGAATGGAAGAAACGTGAACTAAGAACCTTAGGCTGAGAATTCGAGATTTTATCGATTTATCCCCGGAAGATTTAATCATAACGTTTCCCAGTGACCATCATTAAGACAGCACTTATTTTTTTTCTAAATGAATGGAATTTGACAAAAGCTTCTGGATGTATGTAATGTCTGAAAGTGACATCTGGATTTGTTTACTTTATAGAGGGAGAATCAGGTGGTCCTAGACACAGCACATAAGAAGGGCCTGAGCCAGGATTTGAACAGGGGCAGGGAGCCGACTGCACGGATGGCTGGGGGGCAAGGTCGTTCCAGACTGTGGGGGTGTTGAGAAAGACATTGAAGCCAGGACCTTGAACAGGGGTAGGAAGTTGACAGCATGGTTAGCTGGGGAAAGTTTCGTTTCAGACTACGGGTGAAGGCAGTTCCATTGAAGCCTGGAGCTCAACAGAAGCGGGGAGCTGACAGCATGAAGAGCTGAGGGAAGGACATTCCAGCCTACGGGAGAGTTGACAGGCAAATCCGGAGGGGAGAGAAAACCAGCCTGGGCGTCAGCCCTGCTTATTGTCATCGTCCTCGTCGCCACCGCTGCCACCACCGCCGGCGCCAACGCTGCCGTCCCCGTTGTGGTATTCGTCGTCGCCGAAGCCATCGGCCAGGTGGCACTGCCGCTTGCGCACGTTCCAGTGCAGGCACTCGGCGAGGCTCTCGAACCAGTCCTGCACGGGGTCCTCGCAGCACACCGACGGCACCGGGAAGCATGACGTCGTGATCTTGATGCTGCGGCGCCGGACGGGCGGGGAAAAAGAAAAAAAGAGAAAAAAATGAGGACCGGTGTCATTACCGTTGTCACCATTAACTAGAACCGAAACGGGGGAGCTGCGATTGCCCACCGACGCGTTCACCGGGAATCGAATCCAGCGGGCACGCTGCAATCACTGAGCGGCTTGATTCGGTCCGACCCGAAAACGCATTGGAGAGCTGTACAGAACAAACCACGAAAACCTAGGCACTCGGAAAAGTACGTGTTAACGGTGATACGTAATTGAGTCAAATGAGTTCTACCTCCGTATACATAGAGCTTAAAGGCTGTTGTTGTTCCCCCCCAAATCTGCCAAGTTTTGCGCGAGGGGGTAAGTTTCCATTACCTCACACCTCCCCCCCCCCCCCCGACGTGACAAACCACACCGAGCCCCCCACCCCCCCCCACGAACCTGTCTCCGTGCCGGATCTCCTGGCGGCGGCGCCCGTCGAACGACACCCACGCCGTGTTGCGCGCGTCCGGTGACAGCATGATCTGCTCGCGCACGGCAACGTCACGCGGCATTAGAACCGTGAGCCACGCGGAGGTGGCCCAGTGGCTCGAGTCTCCACGCTTTGCAGAAATGTCAAGCGCCAGTGCAGTCCCAGTTCAGTGCTGCATTGCACAGCAACTACGGAAGCATTATTGGCACGGTTGGCTACGTACGGTGCGAAAGAGGTTCAACATACGTGCGTACGTTATAGTGCACGTTCCGGAATTGGCTTGAGATTTTCAGTGATGTCAGTGACGTTTGTTTTTTAACCTTGCTCATGCCACTGCTGGCAGCAGGGCCTGCTCTAGAAAGCCCCTCTTTGGGGTACGCTTATATAAAGGGAATACAAATGTGGTCTTCGTGGAAATCATTGGGTATCATTGAGAATACAGATGTAAAACACTGAGCTAAGATGGCACAGGGGTCACATGGTCCGGATGGGGGCACCCCCCTCTCCCCCTCCCCGGGCAGGGCTCACATGTATTGCAATCAGAGCATGTCGGTGACTGTCATATGAACAATGGGATTCCGTTACAAACTCAGATGCACCGGGGGGCACTCCGCCCTCGAATTAGCCCGGTACGTCGTGGACGCTGCAGCGTAGCTCACCGCCGCGGAGGAGGGGGCCAGACCGAAAAGCTGTGCTCAGCGAAAACACGGTGGGGACCGTGGGGCCGGAGGAGCATTGGGGGGGGGGGGGGGGGGGGCGGCGGGGAGGGAGGCGAGGGGGGGGAGGAGCACTCACCGTGAGCTCCACGCCGGCCGGCACAACGATGGGGCGAAAGGAGAGCGAGTGGGGGCAGATGGGGGTGATGAGGATGGCCGGGACGTTGGGGTGGATCATGGAGGCCCCCGCTGCCGCAGAGTAGGCCGTGCTCCCGGTAGGCGTCGACACGATCAGGCCTGGAACCGCCAACCAAGCCGCCCCCACCCCCCAGCAATGAAAACGTTAAGTGACTGAAAAATAATCTGACCTTAACACGTGCACTCCGACCTACACAGATCCACGCCACCGTTCAGAAGATAAAACTTTGCGAGTCCTCAATAGACGCGGCCTCGCCGTGCCATGTTGATCGTGGGGGATGTTTGGCCGTAGTTTACCACGTTGATCAGTGCGAGTTGATGAAAGGAGGGGTGGCTCTGATGTCACTTGCCACTGATGTTAGCCGTGCCCAGGAATCGATCTCCAGGTTCATAAGCTCCGTGAGCTAACTACTTCACCGCCACTCCCCTCTGCCCCCAGGCTATACGACAATGAACATGTTTCACATAGAAGATTTGTAATTATTCATGTAATATTTATGGCATTTATTGCCATGTGGCAGTTTTAAATATATAAATTTCTCAATAATCCATAAACGTGGTCACTTATCACTGTCATCAGTGAACTGCACCCTGTCTGCTGAGTCAGCAGTTCCTACGGGATTGCTGTGTCAACAACGAGCGAATGGAGGTCGAACAAACTCCGGGTGTTCATGTACCACCACTCTCCCTGCAGAAAGGGCATTGTCCCACAGTTTGTGACATTCATTTTGGTTCATCGCAGAGTAGGGATTCTGAAATGTCAGATAAAGGGACCTGAAGTGTTTGCCTTAAGATAGTTTTCACCTTGGTGGTAAGTAAACAAATTGTGGAGATGGCTAGGAAGATAAGGAGTTATAGCACTGCACAACTGTGAATCTGGGTTTGAGTCCAGATTTCAGCCGCCCGTGATTAAATCGGGTTATTAAGTGTAGCGAGTTGATGGTGTCAGCCAGGTCACCAATGACAGCACAAAAAAAATATATCATATCATATAAAATCATATAGAGTGTGTTTTATAGTTAATTTGGAAAACAATCCAGCTCTGAGAATAAATAAAACCAGTCACACTGCCGTGCAACGAACGTATGCATAGCAAAGTATGTCGGAAAGTGCAGAGCCCCGAGTGTGGACAAGAGATAACTTCAAGGAATCTCAGAAGTAGGTCTGTGATATCACCTTCCACGAGTGATGCATTGCTCTGCGAGTTTTCCGAACAGATTCTGCAGCTCATGAAATCACCCCGATTGCACAACACCAATTCTATCAATTATTTACCCCGGATAGAATGACCACATTTCAAGACTCTTTTTCAGGATGGCCTTGCATTGGGACACTTGGCGAATTCCATTGTTGAATGTGTGGCTTCATGTGTTGGGAAGCCAGAGTACAAAGAGAAGATCCATGCACATGTAGTAACACTCAACACTGCCACGTCCTGGTCTTGCACAATAACATATTGTGAAATACATCTTTGGCGGAGTGAGTACAGTCCATTTTCCTAAAACGCTGCATATTTTTATCATGCTAATTGGATATAACGCGATTGAGTGAACACAACTATATCGCGCGAGTAGGAATAAGCGGTCACACGGCTGCCTCAGCGTAGTGCCACACAAGGCGGGATGCTGCTGGATGCTTCTAGATGGTACCCGCGTACCTCAGTCTTTGTTCAGCCCGCATACGCATCTGACGTGTTATCGCCGGCTGTGCTTTACCCCCCTGTATTATATATTATTTATTATAACGCGATTTTTCCATAACGCGATTTTTCCATAACGCGGTGTTCTTCAGGAACGCAACTACTACTTTATAAGAGGACAGCCTGTACACGTGCTATGCGAACGCGTGGTGTGTGTGTCAGGTTTTACCATCGCCTTGCACGGTAGTGATGAGCCGGTTATCCAGGTAGAGGTCCACGTTGGACAGGTACGATGATGGCCCTCGGTCAATCACCACCTCGTTCAGCACCTGCGAGGGTGAGCATGCACGCACATACAGAGAGACCGTGGATGTACAAGGCGTTCTTTCGAAAGGGAAAAAAACCGTGCGCTGCGTGTTTCCACGGCCGTGTTGTGCTTGATTAACGGGACACTGCACAGTTCTTGTTGTTGCATCAGACTAAACAAGGGGGTCGGGAACCAAAATAACAAGAAGAAACTATTTTTTTCGAATTCGGTAAAAAAATAAATCTATATTTCAAGAGCCTCAATGCATGTGTAGTGACTGTGATCGTCACTGTGTGGTGGTGGGCCTACGAAGCCACGGCGGATAATGTGCCGACATTATGCGTAGCCCGCTTATGTGGCGTAGTACCAGCCCTAGCGGGGCTTGGGTGAGTGCTGGTCAGCGTGGAGGCACCACGTACAGTGTGCGGTGCGGGCTCCCGGTGAGGGAGCGAGAGGAAGCGTCAGCCAGCCAGGGTTACGTTGGGGCACGATACGCTGGTTGACCTGCTGACACGTGACCGGATGATATTGGAGGGGAGCCACCGGTGGACGGGGGCCGCTGGGCGGTCACGTGGTCTAAAAGAGCTCTCGGGAGCCTTCGAGAAGGAGCTCGAGAGACCTGGAAGGTGGGCGGGGCAAAGGGCGGAGCCAGCGCCAGCCCAGGGGGATATAACGGGGGCCCCGTGAGGAGCTCGGGGTTCTTCGTGTGCTGGTGTGAAGAAGATCCACGTCGGGGAGAAGAAGCCTCTAGCCACGCGGTCCGGGACCCAGCTTGTGGTCCGGGCCGGGATAGCGAACCGCGTCTAGTTCTGCCGGAGCGTGGTTAGATGGGCATTCGATATCCGAGTGTAGATTGTGTGATGTTATGTTAAAGCTGCTTAATAAAAACGTGTTGCTCCCAAGACAACGTCTGCGACTCAGTTGGACTCGCTACACGTGATGAATACAAGACGGTGCTCCTTAATCAATAACGCCACGGCTCTGGAGCCGCGGGCTGTCGACCCCTGGTCTAAATAAAATATTTGTTATTCAGGCACAGGATGGCATGTTTTGTACGTGTGTTGACCTTATTTCGCACCGTACATTGCCAACCGTGCTAATCGGAGGTGCAGGGTGAAGGACAACAAACTCATTGCTGACAACCCACACAGTTTAGCCTGTATTCTTGTAGGGGGAAAACGGGTTTTCAGGTCCATATGGCGTGCAGCCGTTTCAATACAGACAAAAAATGTTTTCTGTCAATTTGTTTGTGTCTCTCCCTTGTGATGGGACTTTGTAAGATGAACGTAGAGATTTATAAGGGCACGGGGCGACCAATATGGTCTGAATTGGCCTGTAATAAGGTAGGCAGCACTGATAAGGGGTTGACTGGTATGCAAACTAAACACAAAAAAGCATGGTGGTGCAGTGGGCTGGCACACTGCGTTATGAGTTCCTGGCCATGGCCAACATCAGTCGCACATTTTATCTCAACTGGTCTTGAGCGCCCCCCCCCCCCTGATTTGCCAACCCACACAAACCCGGCATGGCGACGTTCAGAATCAAAATAATCAAAAGTTGATTTCCTACTGAGTAAAGCCCATTGAGCTAAGGAGTCCTTTATCAAGGGCGACTCAGCCCGCAGACGACATCAAAGCGTGATCCAAACAACCCCCACGCCATCCGGATGCCTTCATCCAGCAGTGGATTGACCGAGGGCTTTAAATGAGCATAATTATGATTGAATTTTGACGTAAGGGAAGCACAGCAAAGAGTGGGGGGGGGAGGGGGACTGTGGATCGTGCCTATGCGGCGCTTGTCAAAGGTCTCTAGCTCATCATCTCATCACCACCACCATGTGGGCAGGCGATACTCTTTAATATACATACATACAGGTCATACGTACATACGTACAGGTCCATCAGGTGTCTGTGACAAACGTTGTGCGCCTTTGAATGGAGCCGAAAGAGCATCTGGAGATGCGGTCTGAGTCAGCCGCTTTATACTTTCAAATGATTAATTCTACAGAGACATCTGTGTGCAGCGTGTGCACAATAGCCTCCTGGTTTTGTCACAATATCAAGAAATGTATTGTTAAATATAATGGGCGCACAGGAGGCTTAGGCAGGTGAGATTCACTGCATAGACTCATAAGGTCGCCTTGTGATAAATAGCTCCTCGACGTACGTCAATTCCTACTCACTGCCTTCAGTGAATCACCATGCGTGCTAGAGAATGGCCTACGGGGAACGAGATATTACATGACTTCTGGAATACCTTCAAACGATCTCTTATCAACACACTAGTGTCAACACTTTCCCCAAGGGTCCTGCTACAGAGCAATTTTCTTCACATGGCAGTCAAATCAAGTGTAATAAACGACTTCCATGACGACAGTTGACTGGCGTCTTTTTATTAATAGAACTTCTGCACAGGTCCGCTCTCTCTCTCACTCTCTCCGGGTAATTTCCCTCTCTCTCTACTGCCGTTGACGAGCCGTTCTCTGGCCACTGTCGTGGCACGCCTCTCTCTCTCCGATCCCGCCGCTGGCTGCGACGTGCCGGGAGGAGAGGCTGCTTCGCTGGCAGTCCGCCATGTGCTCGTGGGCGAGGAGAGGTTGAGCGCGGATGCAGTCCGGACCCGAGGCTTCCCACACCGACCACGGGTCCCCTCCTGTCTCCGTTTATATTCCGCCTCCAGCCACGCCCCCTCGTGGAACTCTCTCGATGGTTCCCATACATTCTCTCTAGCCCCGCCCGTTACCTTTGGCCTAGATGGAATCCCCGCTTCGGATTGGATACCGATGACCCAGCGGTGGCCATGCAGATACCCCTTGTTACCCCCTAGGTGGTGCTCTCTCATTACACAAGTATTGTTTTAATTCACAGAGCTCTAATTATACCACCCTAGTGCAAAACACAAAGCGGTGAGTTTTTGTTTTGTGTGCAGTCATCGGTGACCGGGCTGAGACATTTAACTCGCTTCACTTGAGAACCTGATTTCAACACGTGATGAAAACTGAATTCATATCCAGAACGTCAAATGGTATAAAAAAAATCCAGGGCTTTCTTAGCAATAACTGGATACTTGTTCATTTGTCGACACCAAAACGTTGAGAGCGTTGTTGTTCTGAAGAGTTGCTGTTGAACCTGGCTCTGCTGAATTTCAATGATTTCGTCGAGGAATTCATCATTGACATCTGCTGTTTCAACAGCAAACGTGAACGGCTGTCTCACCCATGCTGATTAGCATGGTTGGCTACGTACGGTACGAAATAAGTTCAACATACAGCTGTTTGCAATTGGCCTCACCTGGAGCTGAACAAGGGTCTTGCCCGAGTCGGTGTCCAGATGCTTCCCGGCGAGAGGCCCGTTGCCCTCGCGCGGCACCGCCGTGACCCCGCCGTCCCGGGCGTCCCGGGCGTCCCTTGCGCTCGCTGGCCGCTCCTTCATCACACGCACGCGCAGGCGCGAGCGTAGCACCAGGGCGGCGTTCCCTGCACGCCAGCGCAAGCGACAAGCAGCGGTCACGTGAGCCCTGCGATTGGTCAGCTCGTGGTCCGCGCTTTTTGCCACGGTGGCGAGATGTGAACTGCTTCGCCTGGAATATGCAGGAGGTCGTGCATTCAATCCCAACCCTTACGCCTGCTGCATATTTGGAGTTTTCACGTCTCTCTCCCCGTGGTCGTGTGGATTTTTTTCTCCGGGTTCTCCCGTTTTTCTCTCCACATTTAGAAACGTACTTTAGAGTATTTGGCTGCTCATATACATTTCCACGTGATGATAAGCCACTTCGTTGAGCCATCATTTGTGGCCAGGTCGCTTCTGAAAAAGAGCCACACAGCTCAGTGGGCCTTACCTGGTAAAAAATTTAGTTTAGTTTAGAAACGCACGCGCGTGAGATTCCTGGCAGGGGCGCGCGCGTCTCTGGAGGCGTGTATATGTGCGCGCGTGTCGGCCGTACCTTCGATGACCTGGCTGACGCTGGGTCTGAACGTCTCGAACTTGAAGGGCGTCAGGAAGCCCAGCGAGCCGAGGTGGAAGGCCATAACGGGTGGAACACTCTCCTGTGGGCAAAAGCAGAGGATACGTTGACTCGACCTTCGCCCACACTCACAGATGGTGCGGGGTGAGGCAGGATATGAAAGTGAGGTGGCATACACTTGGGAGTCGCAGGTCACACTCATAACACACAAAGTGCTTGCAACAAATAAACCACAATGTTTCTTGCCGTTGGTTTTCACACCTGATGATGACCGTTTGTGTTATGGTCGAAACGTCGTGAGAATTTTTATTGTTTTATATATATTTTATTATTTTATTGTTTCCCTTCAACGTGACTTTACCGAAAGAGCCAAGAATATAAACCACAATACCTTTCTGATTTCGTCAACGAACTTAAACCATCACGCGAATTCTGGTTATCCTTGCAGCGGCTTTTGGCTAGCCATCGAACAAAGATGGTCACTGCATTGTGCGCTTTCAGATGCGCTTCTACGGCCATCTGGAACGCTCTACCTTCCGATGTTAGGAAGCCATTGGAGCTATGCACTTTTAAATCTAGATCGAAAACTTGTCTCTTAGTTTGTTGTCCTTCCCCCGCACCTCCAGTTAGCACAGTTGGCTACGTATCATGTGAAAATAGTTTAACATACATACATACAATCCATTGCCGGATAAGAGCCTCCCCACACCACCATATGAGTCGTGGACGTTACGTGACTATACTTCACCACGCTGGTCAGTGTAGGTTGGTGAAGGCAAGTAGGCTGCAGTGAGTGAGCAGATGTGCCGCGTGCTTTACCTGAAAGAGGGACGAGGCGTAGAGGAGGGTACCATCCCCGCCCAGACAGATTATCAAGTCGATGCGGTCTGAGATGTCGTCGTAGCCTACGCAGTGGTGGGTGGGATTGTGGGTAAGGCACACACACGCACATACCGTTGAGCGCTAGCGAAGTACAGAAGTAAAATTATTATTCTAAATAAAGAACAATAAATTATTTACAGGCGTTAGAATAGTTGCAGTGTTTGTTCTGGCTTGAAGCGGAGCAAGTAACTTGCAATGCTCGTATTCTTGAGTGCCAACATATATTCTAACTGGAATAGTTTATTTGAGTGTAGTAATAATAATAATAATTTGCAGCCCATTATTATTGCTCCATGCCTCATCGGCCATGTGGATTATTTCACTACGAGTCGATGTCTCAAGCATGGTTGACAGGAAGCGTACAAAACTACTATTGTTCTTCATGTGGAGGGACGTAGATATGAAGGGTGATATTGTCTGCTTCATTCATTTTATTACCCGCATTTTCGACAATGACGCTAAATGATCCTTATGGGGGTACCCCGGGGGTACCAATAATCCAAAATGGCCGAGGCAATTAAATATTTTATTTCTGGGACACAATTTTTTCCAGGGGTGTACTTAACTCCGCGACTGGGGTACCAATCAATCCTAAATCAGTGCTACCCCACGATTTCGAAACGCCAAACATTAGCATAAAACATCCGTTATCGATTTTTAAGATGTGGGGGGGGGGGTGCCAATTGTGGTCTTGAGCTCTCGACAAAGTGTGGGAGGAAGTGGATTAAATCTTGACTTAAAGCTTTCGTGACTGCAGGAATTCATATTCTTTGGGTTTTTCGGTGAATTCACGTAGATAGAACAATAAAATAATCAAAATAAAAAACCCTCTGCTGCTAGACCACCCAGATTGTATGGCTTACCAAAAATCCATAAATAAGGCACACCACTTTGTCCTATCGTCTCCACCATTGACTCACCCACCTACAAGCTGGCCCAATTTCTGTCTGAGACCTTACAACCATTTACTGGTAAGACCACCTCAGCTCACTTGGTATCGTTAATTAAGGACATCTCACTATCTCCAGGTGATTTGCTCATTAGTTTCGATGTAGTAACTTTATATTCTTAGCTCTTTCGGTAAAGTCACGTTGAAGGGAAAACAATAAAACAATAAAATATATATAAAACAATAAAAATTCTCACGACGTTTCGACCATAACACAAACGGTCGTCATCAGGTGTGTCGGTCCGCATTAATTAATTTATTTTTTAAACGGTGCATTTATTTACTTAAAAAACGTCAGCGCCACGCGCAGCGATTTGGCAGTTTATTTAGAAGGACTAGTCCATCTATGTTCTGAAAAGAGGAGGGGGGAGACGAAAAATTAATGTATGCTGTCTGAAAGCCACCGTAAGCGTGAACAATCAATTAAGGACCTGAAATGGTTTATCAAATCCTTCCAATGATTGCTAAGCCAGAATCCATCTTCTCGGTTGAAATTGTCTCTGTGCTTGTATATGTGGATAGCCTCATGAACGAATCTCTCATGGTAGCCAGATGGCTTACAAAGAACCTCTGTCTTGGAAAAGTCAATGTCATGGAGCCTACTGAATTATAACAATGATCTGCCACGGCTGAGGTGTTGTCCCTACCGTGTTTTAAGGTCTGCTTTGTGTTCACGAATGCGGTCCGAGACATGGCGTTTGGTTTCTCCAATGTAACTACTACCACAGAGGCAACTTAGTTTGTAGACACCAGGGTACTGTATGTCCGGAATCACATCCAGAAGCAGATCACGGATTTTATGTAATGTGTTGAAACAGACCTGAATCTTGTGTTAATTTTTCGTCTCCCCCTTCCTCTTTTCAGAACATAGATGGACTAGTCCTTCTAAATAAACTGCCAAATCGCTGCGCGTGGCGCTGACGTTTTTTATAAATAAACCGCTTAAAAATAAATAAATTAATGAGAACCGACACTTCTTTCAGATGTTTCTTGCCGTTGGTTTTTTCACACCTGATGACGACCGTTTGTGTAATGGTCGAAACGTCGTGAGAATTTTTATTGTTTCATATATATTTTATCATTTTATTGTTTCCCTTCAACGTGACTTTACCGAAAGAGCTAAGAATATGAATTACTGCTGTCAGGAAAGCTTTAAATCAAAAATGTAGTATCTTTGTTTACTAAAGTTCCTGTGCCTGACACCATCGCAATCATTGAAGATTTGGTCCAACAAGGACTGAATGCTGATGTCCCCGACCCAGGTTAAACACTGCCTCACCAACGCTTACTTCACCTGGAATGGAATATTCTACAAACAAGGTGAAGGTACCCCAATTGGTTCTCCCTTATCTCCAGCTGTAGCCAATGTTTTCATGGATAAATTTGAGACAGATGCCATCCACGCATCCACTCTACGCCCGTCCTAGTGGAAGAGATACGTAGATGACACGTTGGTCATCTGGCCACATGTCCTACCAGCTCTAGGCAAATTCTTCAACCACATCAATTCCATACACCCAGCCATCAAATTCACCATGGAGGTGGAAAAGGATGGCAAGTTACCATTCTTGGATGTTTTACTCAAAAAGAGACCAGATGGCTCAATGGGACACTGTCTACAGGAAAGCCACCCATACGGATGCCTACCTAAAATCTGACTCCCACCACCATCCATCCCAGAAGAATTCCCTCATCAAAACTCGACACCATAGAGCTCAATGTATTTCCGACCATCACCACCTTGCCAGTGAACTGGAACACGTACACCAAGCCCTCAAGCTGAATGGATATTCAGACAACACAATCCGTAAAGCTATCACCCCAACCGTTGGGCAAGAACCATCTGAGGACCCAATCAAAACCATCACCTTGCCATACATAACAGGGGTCACCAAAAAGATTTCCAAAATCATGAGCAAACACAAGATCCAGGTACGATTTAACACAGTACATACAATTCATGATCTGATCCCATCTGTGAAGGATGTGATCCCTGACATACCATACCCTGGTGTCTACAAACTAAACTGTTCCTGCGGCAGTAGTTACATTGGGGAAACTAAGCGACATGTCTCGGACCGTGTTCGTGAACATAAGGACCAATACCTCAGCCATGGCTGATCATTGGTTTAATGTGGTGGGCTCACACGAAATTGATTTCTCCAAGACGAAGGTACTCTGTAAACCCACTGGTTATCAACAAAGATTTGTTCATGAAGCCATCCAGATATATAGACACAGACACAATTTCAACCGAGATGGGTACAAACTGAGCAATCATTGGAAGAACGTTATTAACCAGTTTAAGTCATAACTGGCTGTGATGTTTCCATCCTACCTTCCGATGTTAGCAGTTATTTTCGACTCTCTGGTTTTACATTAACAGGTTCACACTAACACAGCCGCCGTTTACATTTGCATGCTAATCTCTTACACTGAAATGCTAATCACTTTAACATCACTAGCCCCGCCCACTTCGTTCATGACCCTTGGGCTACACCCATTTAAAACCTTTAAAACAGCCTCCTTCAGCAGCTTTCCCCCTCTTTTTTCTCCTGATGACGATTGCTTGTGTTGCGATCGAAACGTAGTGATATATTTTTTATTCACTTTATTTTCATTTTTATTTTAATTATTTTATTTTTCTATCTACGTGACTTTACCGAAAGACCCAAAGAATAGGAAGTGGATTAGTGAGTGAAACCTGTGATGTAGGGGACACAGCTGGGTAACACTGTGGGGGGTAGCAAATTAAGTACAGTAAAACCTTGGTCTGCGAGTGTTTTGCAAGACAAGCAAAATTTTAAAATAAATATTAATTTGATAAACGAGCGAGGTCTTGCAGTATGAGTAGTACGTTTACGCTTTGTCTGCCGAGCGTCACGTAATCACAACTGATATACGGGTGCTTTGATATACGAGTGCTTTGGATTACAAACACGTTTCCGGAACGAATTGTGCTCGCAATCCAAGGTTTTACTGTATAGTCCTAGCAAATGGTGGCACGTGTAAAAACCAGAGCAAAAAATCATAAATTACAGCCATGAATCAATTCACTGATGGGTGAAGGCCTCCCCGTGCCTCAGTCGGCCATTGTCCACACTTTCCTATGCCGCTCAGTGTGTGTGTTGGTCAGAACTGGCAAAGGTACCACTCGCCACTGATGATAGTCGTGGTCAGGAATCAAACTCGGGTGAATGGATTTTGTAACACAGTGCACGAACCAATGCACCACAGCTTCAAAAGACAATAACACAAGCCTCAGGCTTGGGAGAATAAATTAATGTGTTTCCAAGCATCCAGCTATTAAATGCAAGGGTGAAAAGTGTTTTCTCACGCTGGCTCATGAAACATTATCCATACCCTGCTCATTACACAACTGCTCAACAAACTTGCTTTAACACCTGCCCTGAGGTGCTAGTCAATAATTAAGAAATGGTGCTTGCTCAACACACAGCGTGACGATTTGGACCCCTACGGTTGTTCGACTGAAGCAAGCGGAGACTTGAAAACGCCCACTGCCAGATTTCGCAAGATTCGGTTGCCTTAGCCACACAGTAGGCATTCATAACTTCTCATCTGGTTACTGCGTAAGACAGTTTGGAAGAGTTTTAGAAGCTTCGACCTCACGATTCAGCTTAGCACAGTCGCTGTGGTGACATCCCGTCCCTTAGCGACGAATTGCACTATGGCAAAATGTTGTACTCGAATTGTAAATGTTGTGAACGAGTAACTAATTGGCACATTTTGTTTATGTAACAAACCTTACGATTTTGATTTAAAGCTTTCGTGACTGCAGGGATTCATCTTCTTGGTTCTTTCGGTAAAGTCACCACTTAGAATGGAAATAAAATAATAAAAATAAAACATAATAAATATTTCTATTATTTTATTTCCATTCTACGTGAATTTACCGAAAGAACCAAGAAGATAAGCCTTACGATTGTCGAGTGGTGGCCGGTTTAACGACACATTCCTATTTACACAATCTAACCCCCAAAAAAACCCCTCAATTATGGATAATATTGGTTGTGAAATCCCTACTACTTCGTGTTAAACTGAATGAGGCTGTTTTGTGTGTGTAACGGTGTACGCCTGTGCGGCAGGTGTCACCTTCTCGGAATGTGCACAGCTTCCTCCGAATTGGGACGAAGCTCTCCAACCCCTCCAACAGAGGGTCCTCCAGCACTTTCTTCTCAATGTAAACAATCATGTGTTTCTCCTGCGTGAAGGGAACATGCAGTCAGTGGACAGTGACTTCAGAAGATCTGCAACTTTACCTGTCCATCAAACACAATGGGTCCAGAGGGGTCTTCTGAAGGGATCTCAACGGTAGCTCTGTAGTATCCGCTTCCGTGGGCCATTGTCTAGCACAAAGGCTTTTACTCTTCTTAGAGAGATTCTAGGATTTTTTTGTCTCATTAAATGTTGATAGCACGAATGGGATACATACAGGGAAACTGTCAAAAATCATAAAGTTTCATGGCAAGACACATGTACGTTGAAGTTAGCCACGCTTGATGTTTTGCCGATGACAATAATCACTCTGAACGTGCCCGATCTCACATGATCTTGGAAAATAAGCAGAGTTGAGCCTGGTTAGTACTTGGATAAGCGACGACCAACAAATTCACCAGGTGTTGCAGGCCTGGGCCGCAATGTGGCCGGAATGTTTCTGGGCAGCAATCAACACGAGATTTTAAGTGCTTACATTCAACCTGGTTGACATCACGTTTACTTTCAACGTAATTTTTTAGCATTTAATATTTTTTCATTTTGCAATTGTTGTACTGTGGATTTTTTTTACTGTACCTGCTTGTGTTTTTCTTACTGTATCTGCTATCTGTTTATGTTTGTAAACCCAGGCCTCCCTTAATAAATACTTGACTCTCACTTGGTTATCACACAGTATGTGTGGGTTTTCTCCAGGTACACTACTCCATTTTCCTCCCACGTGAAACCAAATTCTCATGAATAAAATTGGCCAAACATCACAATGCAGGACCCTCCTGCAGAAAAAAGAGTCTTGAGGCTCAGCGTGGCTTCCTTGTACAAATCATAATCTTCAGCAGTAGTCATTATCTATCCACTGCTGAATGACGGCCTTCCCCAAAGCCGTCACCATATCTCATGATGCTGCGATGCAACAATCCAATACGGCTCCTTGCACACAAAGTCATCCTCACCACTCCTTCTCCTTGGAGGACGGCGTTATTATCGTTGCCCTTAGCTACGAGGGAACCTGCTGGTGCAGAAATAATTTCAAAAGCACCTCGCTGCAAGCTATTTAAATATTCACATGAGAGATTGCACGTGTAATTGACCTAGGCGATCCCCGAGTATCTCCCGGGTGAAACAATGTGGACAGCTATCGACGCAGACAACCACGGAACGCGCGGACAGCAAAGCGTAGCAATAATGATAATGCCAATTATTTTCCCAAGAAAGCGTCAATGATTATTTGGTTCTTTCGGTAAAGTCACGTAGATAGAAAAATAATAATTTTTAAAAGTGAATAAAAATAATAAACAACAAATAACCACGAATGTAGACTGTAGCCTGGTTCTTAATCGGAGTGTACTGGCAGTCTATAATGTAGACTGTAGCAATGGTTAAGCTGGGTGAGTGTACTGGCAGTCACTAAATGTAGACTGTTGCCTGGTTCTTAACCTCGGTGAGCATACAGGCAGTCTATAATGTAGACTGTAGCCTGGTTCTTAACCTCGGTGAGTGTACTGCCAGTCTATAAGGTAGACTGTAGCCTGGCTTTTAAGCTGGTGAGCATATTGGCAGTCTATGATGTAGACTATAGCAATGGTTATTAAACTGAGTGAGCATACTGGCAGTCTATAATGTAGACTGTAGCCTGGTTCTTAACCTGAGTGAGCGTACTGGCAGTCTATAATGTAGACTTATTGTTGGTTTTTCAGTAATTTAAAAATAATAAAAATTAAAACAAAACCATGACGTTTCGATCGCAACACAAGCGGTCGTCACCAGGAAAAGGGGGGTTAGCCTCTAAAGGCAAACTGTTTATAAAGGTTTAGAGATGGGCGTAGCCCAAGTGTATCAGCAGCATGGGCGGGGCAACTAATGTTAATGTGGGAGAAAGCAATACCAACGCAGTGGGTCTACACCAATCAAAGGGCCGCCAGGCAATCATTTGCACCTCACTCTACATACCCACACAGCTGACGGTGGAGGTTGACAAGAAAACACAAATCAAGTCATGACCCACTGCCAGTACACTCACTCCGATTAAGAACCAGTCTACAGTCTACATGAGCGTTTTTTTGTTGTTTATTATTATTATTATGTATTCACTTTATATATATTTTTATATCTACGTGACTCTACCGAAAGAACCAAAGAACATGAATTCCTGCAGTCGTTAAAGTTTTCAGTCAAAATTTAAGCCTCATTGAGTCTCAGGACACTTTTTTGGGAAGGTCCTGCATCGTGACGTTTGGCCAATCCCATCAACATGCATGCGCACCTACAGTCTTTTTTGCGCAATCTACTCTTGAATGAGGGCCTCGTCGCACCGTGTGGGCCATGGAGGTGATTTTACCATATTTCACACTGGTCATTGTAGGTTGAAGGCGGGAAGAGCATAGATATTGGAACATAGGACAACACAAGAATGGATTTTTTTGCACTGCCCTATGCTGTCCTTCACATAGCTCCGCAGCCCTATGACCACCTAATGGTGCAGGGTAGTCACCCTTTATATCAGTAATTGAGTGGATAAGGTCTCGTGGCCGGGAAGTGTTAGAAAATTCATCCTATTTTTAAACTGAAAAAGCCTTCTAAATTGAAAACTCATTTAGTTAGAAATTATTTTTGAGGTTAGTTTGTTGTCTTTCCTCCGCATCTCCGATTAGCATGGTTGGCTAAGTACGGTGCGAAAGACGTTCAACATACGGTACATACATACATACATCCGAGCCATAGCGCAGATAAGAGGAAGCGACCCAGCCGTGTTTCCAAATTCATCCTATCGTACGCACTTTGTCGCTTGCTCGGACAGAAGAAGTAAAGAGCAGAGGTAAGTAACGGTAATAAAATCCTCCCTTTGTGGCTTCTCACTTCAAATAGGAGAGCAGCCTTACTGTTTGCGTGCGGTCGACGATGATTGAGAGTGGCATCACTCAAGGAGTGATGCCAACGATATGAACAAGATTTAGGTTATTTTTTTTATCTCCAACACACCGGTGTGCTGAACGAATAACGAATTGGCATGTTTTGTTTACATGAAAAACCTTATAAATTGGCTGTGTCAGCTGATGGCAGGTTTAACGGCAAGTTTATATTTACACGACCTAGTATTGATCGCGAAAGCCTCCGTGTGCAACTGATATGAACATGATGACGATGATGATGATGAATCTTCGAGTTAGGTACCTCCATGAGGAAGGCACAGAGCTCACGGAAGAAGTCCAACAGCTTGGCGTCGCCAATCTTCTTGATCACCAGCACGCTGAGTGGCGGCTTGCTCCACGTCAGACGCTGGCTCGCTGGGTCCTGGATGTGCCTGCACACCGGGTCGGCGTGAATGCATAGCAACGTCCGTTGTGACAATGAATGCTTGCTTTACAACTAAGGTTAAACGCATTCATGTATTATCCCTGTACATCTGTAACGAGGAGGGAGGGGGGGGGTCACGATAACACTCGTAAAAATTATCCATTGAACTTTAGTGTGAAGTTGTGCTGCTATTAGGGACCCACACTGCTCAAAACTGGCTAAATTAATCAAAGGCTTGCTTAAAAGTTGGAGACGTAAAGCAGAGAAACTTTACATTTTAAAATTACCCCGGCAGCTGCCCGTCAGCTGCCGACGGTACAATAAAAATATAGTGGTTGACGGTTTATTTAATCGAAAATGATATCGTTTTTCCCAACGTCATCCCAATTGTGCTATCGGTGTCATGTCATGAGGTGAAAGAAGCTCTTCGGATCTCTCGTATAATTGTGCATCACCCCAAGTTAAAGAAGCCATAAACTAAACGATTAAGTTATTAACCAGGTAAGGCCCACTAAGCTATTAGCTTATTTTTCAGAAGCCACAAATGAAAGCTCAACGGAGTGGCTTATCCCGTGGAAATTTATATCACCAGCCAAATACTCCAAAAGCACGTTTCTAAATGCGGAGGGAAAAACCGGAGGGCATGAAGAAAAATCCGCACGACCATGGGGAGAGAAACATATAAACTCCAAATATATAGGCGTCAGGATCGAGATCGAACCCACGTCCTCCCGTGTACCAGGCGAGGGAGATGACATCTTATCACCGTGGCGCATCAGCTGACTACGACACTTGAATCACAGGCGACTGACTGAATTTGTACCCAAGATCTCAGCGGTGCCAGCTCAGCGCTCCGACCTCTGAGCCACCTGGTTACCTCCGGCGGGACATTTTTTAAAATAGAAATAAAGAAGTGGCATGCACAGAAAGGAATCAAACCCTCACGGTCAGGTTACTGGGATCACACTGATTCTCCATACAGACTTTAACAGACTGTTGGGGTAAGTTCTGTTAGCGGGCACCTATGAAGGCTGGCATGGCACAAAAGGGTCAATGCCATGCCTGGCTACCTTTGTCTCCCCAGTGCTATGTACTAATCTAAGGCTGATTCGACCTAGGGGAGGCCCATGACCAGTTAAAATATGCATCACTGATAATGGCCATGAACGGGAATCGAACTTGGGTCACCGGGTTCTTAGCGCAGTGTGCTAACCACTGCGCCGTCACTCCCCATTGCACTGGTACACACACACAAACACGAGTGTGCTACTGAGTATTCACATTAATATTACAGCAGGAAACCACATCTACAAACAGGTCACGTGCTTTATGTACCAAAACATAAAAAATTTATTTACTTTATGTTGTGATACATGACACGAATATTTCGTTAACAATATAAAAGGATTTTTTTCTCTTGTTGTTCAACTCTTCTTAGATTAAAAACTTGGCTAATTATTGAACGGTAGTTATTTATTTTATCTGTGGGAACACTGATAAAATTAAGCCAAGCCACATACGCAAACATAGAGAAGCATTAAATACACTTTTTTAACAGCCATTCATTGATCTACTGCTGGATGAAGACCTCCCTATGAAGGGTCAGTGAAGGCTTTTTTTTTAGCATACTTCACCACGCTGGTCAGGTGTGGGTTGGTAACAGGGGCAGCGGGGGGCCTGGGACTCTTTCACATACGATTCGCCGCTGACATTAGCCGTGGCTGAGATTAAAACTCTGGTTGCAGGGCTCATAGTACAATGCGCTGCCCGCGTTATCCATCCAACAGGCTGGATACACATGTACACATCCTTCTACGAACAGGAAGAGAATGTAAATGTCCCTATTTATGAATATTTAAAATAAATGCAGTAGAATGTAGTTACTCAACTTTAAGTTATAATAAGCTACAAGTGATGGATTATAATCAGAATCTTTATTTATCGCATGGGGAGGGGGGGGGGACACGGAGGGCCATTGCCGCTCACGCCACACACAGATGTGTCCGCACAATTACAATTTGAAAGCAAAGAGTGCGTGACTGCGACCGCATCTCAAGAAGCGATGAAAAAAATAAGAATAGGTTTGACCCGTTCTGGAAATAAAACAGGAGGTGTTAAGATGTTCAAACACCAAATAGAAACCTGTTTGCAAGGAATGAGGTCTGTGTTAACCACACGTACTTGTGGTGAACTTGCAAACAAACATGGTCTAATAATATATGCATTGTCTTGGAAACTGATTGGCCTACACCAGAGACAGCTGTTTATGCTCCGTTCAAAGGCACCAACAACAACAATGCTTGTCCCAAAGATGTGTGTACGCATGTTGAACTTATTTCGCACCGTACGTAGCCAACCGCGCTAATCGTACTGCAATATCAAAGTCTGTACATGTACAGAAGCCCTTTTGTCAATCCACTGCCTAACAAGGGCCTTCCCATGCCACGTTGATCGCGGGTGTTATTTGACCATTCTTTACGCCACGCTATGGAAACATTTTCTCTATTAACAGGGCATCTAAGAAAGCATGCCCCCCCCCCTCCCTGCTGTGGATGAGAATCCGAATCTTTATTTAGACTGGAGGAGTCTGATAAGCTATGAAGCTCTTTTTTAACAGATGTCTAGTATAGGTTCACTTTAAGGGACCTCAGACATAGTTGTGCGAGGTATCGTTCAGTGGGGCCCTCCTGCGAGGGCCTCACGTGACGCAAGCAACAACGAAACTGCAAAAACAACTGGGAAAAAGAGGCAAAAAGTTGCTCCCAAGACAAATTTAACATTTAGCTGAAATATAGTTTCATCGTTGGGTTCGTTTAGAGGCTACGAGTGCATATGTTCAGGCATGTGTGAGTATAGCGGATGCCTTTGCACTTAGAATTAAGGGAAACTGCTTTGTCCCGTGAAGTTTTGTTCACAAACAAAATGTTGGCCAAGTCACTGAGTAAACTTATCACTGTAATTATCTTTTGATGTAATCTTTCATGAAAGAAAATAATGTTTTATTGGTACATGGGCCTACCCAAAAATCAATTATACATCATAATATTGGCTTCGAAATTCCCAAAGTGTTACATTTTCAAAACACTGTTGACGCACCACGGCAGCTAAGCTATCATTCCAGCTAAAATTTAATTTTCAACAGGTTATTAAATTATTCCTGTTATATATTTAAAATCTCCATTCCAACCCACAGTAGAAAAGTGTACATAAATTGTGAATACTTTGAGCAGCGCAATGATTAATTATTTAATCAAATATTAAAGTGTGCGAGCCCATGACGTGATATGTTCGGACACGTATTTCCATTCGTGCAAATTAAATGTCACCATGCGAGTGGAGGGGGAGATAACACTCAAAAGTTCTGCACAGATAGATTGAAGAATCCATTGCTCGGCAATAAAAATGTGACACCGGTCAGATGATCGGGATTTGTTTTTAATTACAGAATTACGTTGGAGGTGGCCCAGAGGTCAGAGCGCTCAGCTGGTCCTGGCTTTGAATCCAGACAGCTGCATGTGATTAAACCGGGTCTTCCAAGTGTAGTGAGTTGAAGGTGTCAGCCCTGTACCCAATAATTGCATAACAAAAAAACATCAAATTCTATTTGGTTCTGCAATTAATTTGGCTGAATTCCAGTGCTGAGATTTAAAAAAATAATTATTTTACTGTCATGTGATGAACTTCACTCGCATATCAGAGATCTCTCATATCAGAGATATGAGAGTGAAGAGAGATATATATCAGAGCGGGAAAGTGTTGTGCTCTGCTGTGTGAACCATAGGTCACTGGAAGAGATCTCAGGGCTAGCTCTGTAACATCTGCTTAAATTGGCCATAACACGAAATGATAGCAACGTTTTGTTTCACTGTATTGGGCGTGCAGCAAAGCATCGATTCGATTACAATCTCGAACTGAATCATATGCTTGTGATACATGCGTAAAATCACGCGTGAAGATTGATTTACTTAACATATATGAAATGTTGATTTAAAGCTTTCGTGACTGCAGGAATTCATATTCTTGGTTCTTTCCCTTCTACGTGACTTTACCGAAAGAACTAATAATATATATAAAATGTGTATGTAAGTGATATGGTAATGTTACATTTAAGCTAATGTGTGGACAGAGCAAAGGCAGGCACAGTATACAAGAGACATAAATGAGACGCTAAAAACAAGAATGAAAAAATATATTCTTAAACCCGAATCGCTACCCCCAATCGTGACTAATTAAAAAAAATTGTCACGGGGAAGATAATTACGTGCCTACTCTGTAATTATAAATGTGTTAAAAAATAACCTCCGGCTTACTGTAATGCAATAACAACGTTGTTTTTGTCGCATCATCCACCCAAGAAACTCGTCCTGAGGCCCCCACCTGCATGCTTAATCACGAACTGGACACTCGGGTAACTGTGACGCAGGTTTTTTTAAGCCCGTGTCTCCGTCTACTTTTTATTTTTATAACAAAACATCAGCCTTCTGGGAGCGCTTAATTTCAGCAGGAATTCTAGATTTGAAGCTTTCGTGACTGCAAGGATCCATACTCTTTGGTTCTATTCGGTCAAGTCACGTAGGTAAAAAAATAAAACAACAAAAATCACGACGTTTCGGCCACAACACGAGCGGCCTTCATCAGGTGAAGGGACCAGCCTGTCTCGAAGACTGCCCTGGAGTGAAACAGAGCCAAGCTCAGACTGCGACCTTTAAGCTGTGTGAGAGGGATTAAGGTGCCTCGACAAAGGAATTAGCATAAAAATGTTTGCATTTGATTGGCGGACTTAGCATGATGAAAGGTGTAGCACGCGGCAGTGCACCTTTAAGCTGTGTGAGAGGGATTAAGGTGTCTTGACAAAGGAATTAGCGTAAAAAATTAGCATTTGATTGGCGGACTTAGCATGATGAAAGGTGTAGCACGCGGCAGTGCACCTTTAAGCTGTGTGAGAGGGATTAAGGTGCAGAAGAATTCGTTCTGCCGTGGCTGATCACTGTTACAACGCTGTGGGTG